TTGGGATAGGCAAGGGCAATCTGGATGATGATACTGAGGAACTGTTGGTCAGAAGATATAAAATTTGTGAGGCACGAGAAATATGTGCAAGAGATCTATTGTGCAGTAAATGATAATTCATCTTATTCTTGAAAACTTCTACATGTATAAAAAGTGTTTCAAAACAAAAATGATCATCATATGAGGTAATGTACACATTAATAGTCTGTATTTAAATATTTGCAAAGTATAATGCTTGTAAAAATATGATGTTCACATAAACACATGCACTTCAAGCTGTCAATTTAAAGCTGAATGAATGTGAAAATACAGCCATTACAAAAAACAGTATGAAGGTACATAAAAAATTAAAATATAGAAAAAACACATCTATAAAATGGAGTACTGCTCAGCCACGAAGCATGAGAAACTAGAGTCACTCATAGGAAAATACATGCATATTGAGCCCATATTCCTAAGTGAAATAAGACACTTGTGCAAATACTGAATAGTTTCTCTAGTGTGAAAAACTAAAAGTATAAATAAGATCCAAGTTGTATAACTGACTGTAAAACAGGAAGAAAAGAGAAAAAGGTGTAGGGGAAGGGGAAAGTGTAGAGAAAAGGAAATAAGGGAAAAGAAAAAATATGAGAAAAGGAAAAAAATGGAAACAATATTTTTGTAAAAACATATTTTTGTAAAAGGGTGGAGGGTGTGAAGGGAGGACAGGGGTATGGGGAAAAAATGAGATCCAAGACATGTCATGTAAAGATGCAAGATCCCAATGATAAATGTAACTGCACTGTATAATTAAAAAGTTCCAATAAACTCAATTCAAAAATATATAATTGCTACATAAACTAGCAAAGATACATATTCTGTTGAAAAGATACATATTCTGCAATCTTTGCTCTATCACTATTGACAACAGCAAAAATTTGAAATCAATTTAAGTGTCACTCAAGATGAATGGATAAAGGAAACATGGTATGTATGTGTGTGTCTATATAAGAAGGAAATATTGATATTTAGGACAAAGTGGATGAGCCTGCTGGACATTATATTAAGTAAAATCAGATAGACATGAAAATGTTAGTACTGAAGGACTTCATGCATGTGTGGAATCTTAAAAACTTTATCTCAGAGACATAAAGAACACATTGTACCTAGCAAACAATAGATACTTTGGGGAATGGTTGGAGAAATACTAGACAAGGGATACAAAATGTTATTCAGAATGGATGAAGAAGTTTAAGAGAGGTGTTTTATAGCATGTTGGATATTATAGTCAATGATGATATATTTTATTCTGTAAGAATTCTGGGAGGATAGATGTTAAAGGTTTTCACCTAAAAATACTATACAATATCTCTATCTCTATGTATGTATTACAATTTGAACTGTAAATTGAAAATGTATGTACAAAATATTAAAGTAAATTTTAAAGAAAGGGTTACTTTGTTTCCATAACATTGTAGAGTTGAAAATATACATAAATTCTTCAAAGATTCCAAGGGAGGCACATCATAGGGAAATGGTATTTGGGATATTTTTCTTGTAGAAATTAAACTTTCCTTAGGGGATACAATGTGACTTTTAGAATGAGGAAAGAAGAATGTGTTTTTCTTTGGAGGGAATGAATTCTTCTCCCTTTATCTACATTTACAGCATGAATTTACACTGAAACAAAGTTTACTGAAGATTTTCATCCTCTTATATTCTTTCTACCTTGGGACTGGAATCATGTGGAAGGAAAAAAATGAGGAGCTCTGAGAATTCAACCTTTGCCACATGGAAAATTTAAACATGTCCCAGTTGCCCATCACTTATAATTCTGTGACTCAGCCTCCAAATGAATGCAAGTGGGCTTCCCAGGACGGATTGTGAGAAGAGAGAGCTTCTGTGGCAGCCATGTGAGAGACTTGCTGTGTTGGAGGGAGGGAAGGTGCACAAAAGAGGAAGCAGCATAGTTTGAAGGTTTTCACTCTAGAATGAGAATGGAAAGCCCCACATTACTGTAGTCTCTGAAGGTAGGGGTCCTCTACAATAATTGGAAAAAAACTCATGTTCATTGAGATATTTCTTATTTAGCAATTCTTTTATTTCTTTTATTCTCTAAAATCTCTAACCTGTTTCCAATAATATTCAACCACTGAAAAGTCTTTATCTCTTCCATTTTTTCCTATAAATTGTACTGCAGTTAGATATTTTGTATTCAATTACTTATTGCTTAAATTCTTGAAGGTCAATTATGTATGAGGTATTGTCTAAATATTTATATATTTGATTGGATATTCTTATTATATTTCTGAAGTTTGCTTGAGGATTTTATATAATGCAAGCTCTTGTAAATTCTATATTTTGCAGTTACTATTTTATCTTAGCATCCACAGTATCTGTAACATTGTCATTGTAATGTTTAATAGTTTGTCTAATCTATTCTTTTTCATTTTAACAAACTATTTAAATACTTAGGAAAATATCAATAAGTAAAGTTTCTGGAAATTTATTTGCTATATTTATGAATTCCCCACAAATACTCTCCTGTTAAATGATTTGAAAAAAATCTAGTCTTCATTGGATTATAAACAATCCTTTTGTTTTCCTCATTTACAGAGTGGCTGTACTATAATCATTAATGACTGACACACCTATTAACATTTTTCAGACTTTAGTAATATAGTTGTAATTTATCATCATTGATTTATATGATAGATTAGTTTTAAAGCAATCTTATGTTAAACTGCTTCCATTTCTATAATTGGCATTGGTGGTTCCATATATTTTTTTTCTTTTATGTTTGTGGTACAAAGAATGGAAGCAAGGAATTTCCAGGCAAGCATTTTATGATTAATCCACAATCCAGGTGTTAGACACACATGAAACCATTTTATTTAATTTTGTTACTTTTTTTCATCTATAGTCAAGAATGTGAAATGCTTAAAGACTGCTCATAATATACTTACCATTTTGTCTTTGGTCTTTTTCTCTCTAATAACTCCCATGCTGTATGCAGTAACAATGTTGACCATGTTCGATCATGGTGATTGTAAATATTTACTTTCAGTGCTTACATTTGTCTTGTAATATTTTTACACTTTCATATTTATACCTAGAATGTTCTCAATTCATCAGATATATATTTTACCAAAGAGCTCTTCCAATTTAAACAAAATATATCCCCACTCAAAAGCGTGCACACATAAGAACATACTCCCGCACATGTCCTATATTTGACTTTAATTTTTGTGTATTTTTCCATTATATCTGTGTAGTCCACATATGTTTTGCTCTTTTTGGAAGAATTCACTGCAAAGACAGTCCCTGGAGTATGATACCTTAATGAACTTCCTAAACCAGAAATGCTACATGATGTGCAAAAGAGGCAACCTGTCTCTATGCTTATAAGAATTAAAATGTGTTTTGTCCATGATGAATACAATCATGTGTTTAAAATAAGTGATAATAAAATAAAAATAAAAATATATTAGACTGAAAATTAGAATTGCATTTTTTAAGTCTACCCAGTTTAAAATGGCATTGATAAACAATCGCCATGCAAGATAGGACTACTTTTGTGTGAAGATTAGCAATTCACATTTTGAAGTGCCTACTAGATGCTATAGGAACCCAACTATAAAAATGTTATGAGTAATATTATTTAATTTTACACTTTAACCTTTTAATGACTACTACTCATAATGTAATTTCATTTTAAGGAATTGGATAGCTTTCTCCATGTCACACAAATGATAACTGGATGAACCAATTTATATTCACAGAAGTCTGACTTAATAACAGTTTTAATCTTTCTTTACTTTACTTTCCCTCTCCCCTCCCTTGTTCCCCTTCCTATTTGAACATTTTTTCCTATATCTCAGTATGAATCAACTATGTTTGTCCTTATTTATGCTTTTGGTTTCTCAAACAAGAGAAACAATGCAATGTTGAAACATATGGGTCTAATTTATTCCACTTAAAAGTATATCCTCAAGGTAAAGAAAAGTGGGGAGGGGAATTAAGATATATTATATACAGGTACAATTCCCTGTGATGAATGTGATCAATATGTCTGTCAAACACGTATTAATTAAAAATAAATTTTAACAGCAATACAGTTTTTAAAAAACAACCCAATACTACACTTTGGGAAAGTTATACATTCAAAGTAATTATTATACAGGAGAATTTCAATAATAATTACACCAATGCAATAAGCATTTATTAAGATACTACTGTGTACAGAAGCATTTTGAAATGTCAAAATGAGTCTATGGCCATACCATCCTGAACACACCCGATCTCGTCTGAAATGTCAAAATGAGGTAGTAAGAAGAACCATATTTTTAGGGAGATAAAAAAGGTCCTGAAAAATAACAGTCACATCACTGGGAAGTGCCATTTCAGGGGGAAAAAAAGCTTATTTGTAAATTCATGCATATGAAAAAATGTAAAGAAATCAAAAAATATCTGAGCTATGCTTATTTCTTTGATGAATCATAGCAGAGAATAAATTAGTTATTTCTACCAATTAAATAGTAAAATAAAATCTAGTGAATCTGTGACAAAACAGAGACGTTTCCCCAGAGTTAAAGAAAATAAAATATATCAAGAAGCACATGCCTATAGTCTTAACTATGTGGGAAGACTAAGCCAGGGAGACATTAATAACAAGGCCACCTTGGGCAAATGAACCAGAAACTATTTGAAAACTGAAAACTAAAAATAATGAAAGCTGGAGAAATAGTTCAGCAGTAGAGCACTTGCTTAGCAAACAAAATTTCCTGGATTCAATCCCCCAGACTACAGAAAATTAAAGTAAAGAAAACATGAATAAAAATAAAAAGTTAAACTTGAAAATGGTAACCACTTAGCCATGCAGCAGTCACTGGCAGAACTCAAGAGAGGGTGAAGGGTGTCCATCCGTGGGTGATGTAAAACATTGATAACTACCTAAGGCACCAGTTCACTATTCTTTGAACAGTGCTTTTGTTTTCTACTCTACCAATTACACCAGTGACATGGAAAAAGAAAACAACTCGTGTATGGCAGAATTCCTCCTCCAGGGACTTTCAGATTATCCTGAACTGCAACCTGCCCTCTTTGCCCTCTTCCTGTCCATGTACCTCATCGCAGTAATTGGGAACCTGCTCATCATCCTGGCCACTACCAGTGACTCCCACCTCCACACACCCATGTACTTCTTCCTGTCCAATCTGTCATTTGTGGACATCTGTTTCACTTCCACCATTGTCCCAAAGATGCTGGTAAACATCCACACACAGCATAAAAACATCTCCTACAGGGAATGCCTGACCCAGGTGTACTTTTTTATAATCTTTGCTCTAATGGATAATTTCCTACTGAGCATCATGGCCTATGACCGCTTTGTGGCCATCTGTCATCCCCTGAAATACATGGTCATCATGAGGCCCCACCTCTGTAGTCTCCTGGTGATGATGTCTTGGATCACAATCTTCTGGGATGCCCTGATCCACCTTCTACTAATTACGCATCTGACATTCACCAGAGGAACAGAAATCCCACATTTCTTCTGCAATCTGCCTCCACTCCTGCAAGTGGCCAGCTCAGATACCCAAATCAATAAAATTGTCTTGTACATATCAACTGCCCTACTGGGTGTGTTTCCTGTCACTGGGATCCTCTTGTCTTACTCTCAGATTGTGTCCTCTTTAATGAAGATGCCCTCTTCTACAAGCAAGTCAAAGGCATTTTCTACCTGTGGGTCTCACCTGTGCATGGTCTCCTTGTACTATGGGACAAGCTTTGTGGAATACCTTAGTTTCACGTTCACACATTCTTCTCAAGCAAGCATGATCACTTCTGTGATGTACACTGTGGTGACCCCCATGCTGAACCCCTTCATCTACAGCCTGCGGAACAAGGATGTGAAGGGAGCCCTGAGAAGACTTCTCATCAGAGGAGCCTCTTGTCCTTAATGGACCAATAGCTTTAAAATTCGAGGATATGTTCTATGTCTCTAAGACAAATATTTGGAATTTTAATAACCCGGTTCTTCATCTTTCCTAAAGTCAATGTGTCATTTTTCTATTTTTTGAATACTTGGAATGATATTTGTGTATATGATTTTGCATTTGTTTTTCCTCAGAAGTTCTCTCATTCATTTTTAAAAATTCTTCCTTTTATATGTCTCATAATGTTTTATCTTTGATCTGTTTACTTACAGGTATTTGAGTCTAATTACATGTTTATATTATGTAACATATTCAGTGTTGATATGATGTTTTTGAATGCTGTCTCCTCAATAATTTTAAACATTCTCACTAAAATACTAAAATGAAATGTTAAATATTTCTGTGATGTGTGTGTTAGCCTAATTTGATCTTTGCCAAATGTGTATGTTTACCAAAACATCACATTGTTCTCAATGACTACATGCAGTTTTTTGTTTGTTTGTTTGTTTTTGTACTAGAGATTGAATTTGTGACCTTGCACTTCCAAGGTAGGCAGCAGTACATTCAATTAATTTGTAAAATTATGCTCTTAATATTAATGTTCTTCTCCTTAATTTGAGATTTTTCTTGTGTAACTTAGCATAAATGTAATTGAAATAACTCAATAATCAAGTCAAATTGCTTACCATAAGAGGTTTGTGTTTATTGATTTTAGGTGTAGAGTTTCATTTAATCCTGAAAACCTCTCTTTGAAATATTTTCTCTAACTAGCCCCAGTCCTCAAATGAGGAGACAGACATTAAAATGGATTATTACCCTGCTAACTGAACTGATACGGAGGGCACCTTTTGATCATTGGTATATTACATGTAAAAACAGTGATTGGATTTTCTATATGAAAGCTATTCTTTGAAGGGAGTTTGTTCATTTTATGCATCGTGATATTTCTAGAGCAACACTAATATCATCTATTTTCTTTACCTTATTCATGCAAACCCATCTCTGCTATCTTCTATTCCTTCAGTTTTTCATTATTTTTCCAATTTTCTTCTTTTTTTCTTCCCTTTTCCATTTTCACCTACTTTGCCTCATTCCTTATTTTTGACTCTTTATTTTCTTTTATGACAATAATATTCTACTACATCTGTACACACACTGTATGTTTTTTCATAAATCGATAGGAATTCAGATATTTCCCATATTTCAGCCATTCTAAATAGTGCCACTATGGATTTAAATGCACATTTCTTTATTTGAGCTGGTGTTTTCCATTTTAAAAATCTGTCTGGGAGTGGGAATTCTGGATCATATTGCAATAGCATGCTTGAGTTTTCTAAAAATCACCTATTATTTTCTCAGAGAGTGTCATTATTTATATTTAGCAATTATATCAGATTATAATATTCAGGGTAATAATCTTAGTTTTCCATTTTAATGAGCCACTAGAGATACTTGAAAAACTAGAATTACAAATTCCATTTGATGCAGTTATCCCTCTTCTAGGTATCTGTCCACAAGTGTTAAAATAGTCATATGACAGGATGCATGTGTACCATGTTTAAAGCAGTATAATTTATGATAGTTAGATCTTGGAAAGACAATATATGTTCATGAACAACAAATGGATTGATAAAAGAAATGTGGTATATATACACAATGTAATACTACATACTACTCTGCCGAAGAGAAAGATAACCTTGAGTCACTCATAGGGAAATTGATATAACTAAGAACACAAAGTAAATTGAAATAATCAGACACACAAGTTCAAATACCACATGGTTTCCTTTTAAATGAGACACAAAATATTTATGGAGAAAGAGAGAGAGAATAGGATAAATAGGAAATAGGGGTAGGGGTAAGTACAAATAATTCCCTAAATTACCTATTTCGCTTTTGCCAAAATATTTTAATGTATATGCTGATTCAGTTCATTCTCTAGTTTCTCTTAGCTTATTGGAAACAAAGTTTTGTGACAGTATTTGTTTGTTTCTTCTTTGTAAGAGAATATTTGTCTATATATGTCCTGTCCACTACTTTCAAGATGATAATATATGGTTTCTTAACTATTGTTATTCTCTTCTAATTTTGTTTTAAAAATTTTCCTTTTTCCACCAAATTAGAAAAGCTATTATAGTGTTTTCTTTTATGTAGAATGTTATATCATTGTGCTTCATTTACTACTGTTTATTTATGTTAGCTTGTGGCAGATTCACACTTTGACCATTTCCCCTTTGTCCTGTCTTCTGCCTTTTCTGAACATTTAGGAGGTGTTTTCAATGCATATTAGTTACTCTGTTTAGTGTATGTTAAATATTTTGTGTATATAAAGTCTTCTAACTTTTACATTCTTGTTATTGTCCCATTTTCTCTATTTCACTTTATTGTCATTTTTTTTATTTTTAGAAACCATGTATTAGGTAGGTAATCATGTGATATTTGGTTTTCTTATTCTGGTTCATTTCACTTAGCAAGATGGTCTCTAGATATGTCAAATTTCTTGCAATGATGTAATTTATTGTTTCATGGGGTTGTGTGCTAGTGGTTATGACTATACTTTTGATTTACATTTCCTAGGACTAATTAAACATCTTCTGTGCTTTATGACAATTAGTGTATCTCCTAGGGACAAATGGCTTTTAATACCTCTTATGTGTTAACATTATGTAGTGTGTATTTTTCTTTCTGACCAGTATAAATGTTAGCTATATTTGCCCTTTATAAATGTATATCTTTAACATATGTACCCAATTCTTTATGATGGCACTTTGTTGCTTTCAAGTAAACAATATTCATTAAGAGATACAGACATATAACCTAGCTGTTCCTCTTTCTAAATAAAATATATATATTTTCACCAATATCCGCCTAATTTTCCTATCCACCTTGTCTAGTAGTCACCACTTTGTTTTGAATTGAACTTTTTAAATATCCACATTTAAGTAATTTAATGCACTACTTGTATCTGTAGCTGATTATTTTTCTTTAACATAGTGTCCTATGATGCCTCTCAATCATTTAGTAGTTTGCAAATATTTGTGCAGAAACACATTTTCTTTCTCTTGATTACATACATAGACTGTTAAAAAAACACATAGTGGCCTCCAATTTATTCACATAATAGAAAACCCCAGGATTTCCTTCTTTTTAAAGGCAAATTTGTATTACATTGTGTAGATGTATCAATATTTGTCATTTGGTCATTTGCTGTCAAACACTTGGGTTGATTCCATATTGTGACCATTAATTGCAATATGTCAGCTTGACCTGGATGTGACTTTAGCTGATTGAACTAGTCCTGGTGTGTGTGACACCATCAAATCAGTTTGTAGCCTGCACAGAAAAAAAAAGATAAAAAAGGAAATGTTCCCATTTTGGAAGAGCTCCAGTTTTTCCCATTGCTTTGGACATTGGTCTTCAATCTTACCAGCCTTCCCATGCATACTTATGTTAGTATCTTACCCTACAGATTCCAAGTTTTCAAGGGCTTCTTACATGTACTTTTTATTTGTGCTTATTATGATACATGATGAATACACTGATAATAGGGAGATAGGTCATATACATATTTAATCTTAAGTCTTTTTTTTTCCCTCACCTTGAGTTTTTTGGTACATTTTAGGTATACAGTACAGTTACATTCATCACTGGGATCTTGTACCTTTACATGACAGGTCTTGGTTCTCATTTTTCCCTTGCCCCTGCCCTCCCTCCACTCCCTCATCCCTTCCCTATTTACAAATACTTTATTTACATTTTTTCATTTTCTCGTATTCATTTATTTTCCCTTATTACCATTACCCTACCAGTCCCACTTCCCCTACATCTTTAGCCCTTTTCTTCATATTTTACACCATCATTTATATCATTATGATCTTATATACCATTATAGTTTTTCACACCAGAGAAACTATTCAGCATTTAGACATTTGTGACTTCTTTATTTTACTTCGGAGTATATCCTCAATATGTATACAACTTTCCTATGAATGGCTCTAATTTCTCATTCTTTATGGCTGAGCAGTATTGCATTTTACAGAAAAACCACATCATCTTCATCCATTCTCCAACTGATGGGCAAATGGGCTGTTTCCAAGTTTTAGATATTACAAATTGTGTGGCTATAAACATGGGTGTGCATATATCACTGTGATATGATTCTTTTAATTCTTTTGGAAAAATACCCAGAAGAGGGATGGCTGGGTCAAGTGGAACCTCTAGTCCCAGCTCTCTGAACTATCTCCATATTGATTTCCATAGTGGTTGCACCAGTCTGCACTCTCACAAACAATGGGAATGGGTTCCTTTCTCCCCACAGCCACACCAACATTTGTTGTTGATTTCTTGATAGCATCCATTCTTTGTGGGGTGAGGTGGAATTCCCACCACCCTCATTCCCACTCCTTCTATCCCTAGATCCCCTTCCTACTGGCATAAGTTCTACTTCTATGTTTCTGACTATGTCTGTTTTACTTAAAATTATTAATATTTGGGGTTTTTCATATGGTAGAAACCATACCATATTTAACATTCTGTGCCTGATTTATTTTGCTTAGTTTTATGGTGTCATGGTGCATCTGCATTTGTACAAATAACTCAATTTATTTTTTCTGTTTGAAGCCTGAGCAGTATTCCACTTTGTGTAAATGCCACATATTCTGTATCTAGTCATCTGCTGAGATGCCTGTAGGCCATATCCAAGATTTAGCTGTTATGACTGGTTCTGCTCTATACATGAAAGTGCATGAATCACTGTAATGTTATATCTGAATATTTTGGAAGATACCCAAAAGGCATAGAGCTAGGTCAAATGGAATTTCTTTTTTCTTTTTTTTTAATTTCCTTCCTTCCCATTGTTTATTGGTACATTTAAAGCAAACAATAAAGTTACATTTATCATTGGGATCTTGTACCTTTACATGATATGTCTTGGTTATTAGTTTGTCCACATATCCCTGCCCTCCCTTCACCCTTCCCTATTTACAAAGGCTTTGTTTTCATTTTTTCCTTTTTTCCACATTTTT